CCGCGCTACGCTGCGGGATATTTTTCTAAATTTTGTATATATTTTTAATATAATAAAATTATTTTTATAATGTAAATGAGTATTTTTTTTATTTTTTTATTAGCTTAAGTTATTTATTTATATGTTTTAAATCTGAATAAACGTTGTATATCCTTAATTTTTTTACTTTTTAAAATTATAAATAGCTATTAAATTTGTTTAGCTAACTAACTATAAATGTATATATAAGAATAAAGTAATACAATTTTAAGTACTTTCATGCTAATGGTAAATGTAATATATTTTCTCCACTAAATTGCTACTTGATCCTCTGTTGTAATTATGTAAAGCAAAATGTCATCTAAAAAAAGATTTATTAATTATTATGATTATTTTGAAGTACAAAATTTATTTATTTATCAAATATTTATTATAAACATACTTGTCTAAAACCACCAAACTATAATCAATAACATTCATATTAAAACCATTGTTGTTGCTTTCGAACCAAACCGAAAATTCTATTTAAACTCTTGAACTTTCGATTAGTTGAAGTTAAATAATTAAATTTTGGTTACTGTAAACATATTGTAACTTGAAATTTTAGTAAAGAGAAATTTCGTCTTGTTACAAAAACCGAGAAATCGCATCTCCCGTCAAAACAAAAAAGACTACATATTCCTACGAAAAATGAGAAATCACATATTCCCGCCAAAACCAAAAAAATTCATTTTATCGTCAAACATAAAATTTTATTTTCTCACTAAAACAGAGAAATTGTATTTTCTCGCAAAAACCAAGAAACCACATTTTCACGCGAGAGACTGTGTTTTTCCGCCAAAACCGAGAAATTACGTTTTTTTCACCAAAACCAAAAATTTTTATCTTCCTATAAAAACCCAAAAATCGTATTTTTCCGTCAAAACAGAAAAATTTATTTTCTCGCAAAAACCGAGAAATCGTCTATTCCCACCAAAAATAAATAATTTATTTTCTCGCCAATCCAAAAACTACGCTTTCCGACCAAAACCGATAAACTACAATTTCTCGCGAAAACCAAAAATTAAATAATCTCATGAGGAATTTTTTTTCCCACGAAAACCAAAAAATCGCATTATTTTTCAAAAACTGAAAATGTACATTTCACATCAAAACCGAGAAATTGCAATTTCTCTCGAAAACTAAGAAAACCCATTTTTCTGCGAAAACCAAGAAATCATATTATCCATCAAAAGTCGAAAATTTAAGTTTCCTATCAAAATAGAGAAATCACATTTTTTAGTCAAAATTGAAAAGTTGCATTTCCCATCACAACCGAATATCACATTTTCCCGTCAAAATTAAGATATTTTGTTTAATCATCAAAATTAATTTTTTTTTTGTTTTCTTACCAAAACTGAAAATTCACATTTTCACGCCAAACCCGAGAATTTGTTTTTCCCACCATAACCGAAATTATACTTTCTTACCAAAACTGTAAATCACATTTTTCTATCGAAACCAAGAAATCCTCTATTTCCGCCAAACTGAGAAATTCCCTATTTCCGTCAAAGCCAAGAAAATTTATTTTATCGTCAAACCGAAATATCGTATTTTCCTAACAAAACTGAGAAATTGCATTTTTCCGCCAAAATCGTCAAATTGTATTTTCTCAAAAAAACTGTGAAATTGTATTTTCCTGCGAAAAGTCAGCCAAAAGTTGAACTATATTAGGATAATAATTTGGGAATCTTTCTACCTAAAAAGAAAGCAAAATAATTATCAAACTTAAAACTCAAAAAATTGTTTTATGAGAAAGTAAACTAAAAAATTGCTAGTAGTATCTTGTTGTTTATCCATATTTCTTTAAAAAGAAGAACTCATAAATCCGATGCAGCAGGCAGAGTAATAAAATAAGATTGAGAAGACCTGATATTTAATGATAATTTGAAGGAAAAAAGAGAGAAATTTTGTTTTGTTTTAAATAATTATTTATATCAAAGGATCATATGGGCTTTCAAATGTAATGAGTTTTATTTAGTTGTTAATCTTGGATAAATTTTTTGACCTAAATGAATTGAAAGTTTTTTTTAAATGAGTTGTATTAATAAAATATTCTTATTGATTGATTTTTTGCTGAAATATCATGTAGAGAAAACCTGAAAAAACTTAGGTGTCATCACCTGGAGAGACTTATGGGTTATTGTTGTGTTGATTAAAAAAAAAGTATTTGAAATTTGAACACATTCCTTTTGATTTGTAGAGTCAAAAGACTCAAAACCATATTCAATTATCAATTTTAATTTACAAAAATAAATTTGGGAGAAATATTTGCCACGGGCCCACGGCCCACGAAGTTGTCAAATAAAAGGTGCAAATAAAAGGTGCGTCGTGACAACGCATTCTAACAGCCGTCCATAACTATACCGCCTCGCTTTAAATGGAATAATGACCCGACAGGCACGCAAATCATCCACGAGGCCGATTTTCAACCGTTTAGATGTAATCTAATTATTTAATCTGGACCGTTCAATCCTTCTAACCTTTCTGTATAAAAGGACATGCTGATGCTAAAGATATCTATCCCCCGCCTCCATGGGAGCCTCTTCTTTTCTTTTCCGTCTTTATACTTCAATATACAGTTTTCTTTAGATCTCGCTGCTATGGCGACGAATCTCACGTTTTCAGCTTGTAATTGTAATAGAGAGCCTCCCGATCTACACATCGGTGTCGAATTCGAAGCGATTCCGTGAATCCGGTGAGCCAATCGCCGTTTTGGGAGCTTACAATCGCAGATCGGTTGATGGTTCTGCTTCCTCTATAGGTAAATCACGTCTCCTCATACCGATTGATCCTAATTCGATCCGTGTTCCTGATTTGAAACCGTGTAATCATGATTGTTAATTCTTAATTATATCAGATCTCGTCCCGTATGAAGCTTCGTCGGATTTGGAGATCTTTGAATTGGTGATGTTGAGGCGATGAGGCTGGGGATTAGGAGACGCTATTGGCTTCATGTGTGTTTGATTGATTTAGGGTGTATAAGATGTTGTGGAAGCTTATAAGCTTCGATTCATCTTTGTCATCCGACCTTTGCCATGACAGGTGCGCTTGCATGGCAGGTCAAAAACAGATCGTCAATAAAAAAAATATTTCGTGGTTCGGAGAGGAGATCGCACGGATGATTAATTTTTTCTTTCCGGGATCTCCTCTCCTTTGTGTGCGTGTCTTGCTCTTGCTTTATAGTTATTATGCCCCCCACAAGAAAAAATAACTTATCATCATCGCTAGAAATCTTGAAAAAAAAACCGATCATTTCAGAGCTTGATTCAACCTGGAGCCGTGGGCGATTATATCTGTTCTTGCCAAACAATCTTACGCGGAAACAAAGGTACTTATTTTAAGATCTTCATTACTATATACGCAATTAGTTCTGATGAACAAGAATTATCTTTTCGCCTATTACAATTCATCCCAATTTCGAATACATCATCATATTCTATATATCAAGTTACAATCTTGTTCGAAATGTGCCAATGATTCTGTTTCGTATGCTATTGAATAATGATTTTGGAACGATTGTTTTTTTTTTGGTTGCCGTTGTATAAGCTCCATATAGTGTAATGTTTGAGAAAGTTTAGTAGGACAATTGTATTGCTGTGATGTCTCCAGTTGATGCCTGAAGTGCTGTCAAGGGCGATACTTTGAGTTGTTTTCACAAGATCAGGATGCACCTCTGAATCTGTTATCAACTTGGAAGGTATCTCGATCAAGCAAACTATATGGTTTTGTACATCTTTCCAAGGAAAACTTTATTTGGCTATGTACAACTTTGTGTTCATTACGATTCAGTGGATTTCTATTTTAGCAACTATTACTATGTTGTGGAAGTTTGAGAATTTCAGAGGTTGGATATATTAGTTGCAAATCAGCTTTGATTATTATTTACCTCAATGCATTTATTCTGATAAAGATAAAGTTTTTTTTTTGCTTTTTGGGACATTAGTGGTTCAGAAATTTCACTAAGCTCCTTTGCCTATTTGGGTTATCAAAACGCAACACTTCTGAGTACAAATTTTGAGTTATAACGAGATGGTTTTTACTGCCTAATTGAGGTAAAACTTTGGTTATAAGTTTTTTTGTTGAAGTAGGTTCTTGATATAAATCTGTAAGCTCAAAATGGTAGAGCGCTCTTCTTCTTTTGAAGTTGAGAGGTTGGTGGTTCGAATCCACTCAGACTTGCACTTCTTTCTTGTTACAGTCTGAGACATGAGCATAGAACAATTTATTTGTTCTTTGATCTTTTTTGGCTCTTAATATTTTTCTTTTCTTATATATCATTAGAAACTCATACCAACAAATGAAGGACTCGTCAGAATTTGTGTGTATTAAGGGCACTTGCGGCGACCACCGTGGGTGGTGAGAGTAGCATAGCACTTGCACTTGTAATTCCCGTACGTGCCGGGTGGTACGCAGTTGCACCTGGCGCAACAAGTCCCGTACGCTCGGTGACACATCTTCTGTCTACTTGAGAGCCTGCAACGTGCTTTGCACCTGCCTCTGCAATCTACAATAATACCATACAAATGTTTCAACCAGATAATATTCTTGGATTTATATGTAAATACGTGCGTTCATTTATAAATAACTAGGGGTTGACCCGCGCGTGGATTTATACATTATTTTTTTATATATTTATAAGATATTAATTGTTATGGTTTAATTTCATAATATGTATAGTCCTTCTACTATTGTAGTCGTACATCTTTCGTGGTTTCAATTTTTTCAATTTTTTTTCTGTTTTTCATTTTGTTCTTCATTGTTATCTTAATTCTTCATAAAGATATATATAAAGATGTATATGGTTATTTTTAAATTCATTTTTAGTAATTATTTTTAATTAAGTAGTATTGTTTTTTAAGTTTTTTTAGTATTTTTGTTTAGCGGACAATATTCGGTTTTATATGGGTTTTTAATATTTTTTAAACAATAATTTATTAATTTTAATATTTTTTCATTTTACATTTTTTAATTGGGTTAAATTTGAATTTTCTGAGTTTTAATACATGTATTTTCTATATATGAAAACATTGAAGGTCTATAAAATTCATATTTGGTAACCTAGAAGCCTAATTAATGAACCATGTTTATTGGTGGCGGCTGATTGGCTGTCCTATACAATGAATTTTTTTCTAATGGCCGTTCTCAAATCGTGAAACATCGATCTATATTCTGAGAAATTATTCTTCGATTTTCTCTACTCGAATTTTTTTTTTCTCTGTCCTATTCTCCCCTCTATTAATTATATATTTATTATGTTTTTATCAAGTGGCGGATCTTTCTCACTTGCTACAGTAGCGTCGACGGCGGTGGAATTCGGTAGGATATCACAGAGATCAGTGAAGCTTTGCCGGTAATCAAAACCCGTGGAGTGTTCTAGAAACTGAGGAGGAGACGAAGGAATCAGATCCGTTTAGTGAAAGAGTTTATCCGGCAGTGAAACTAACTCTTCCTTCGCGGTGGAAATCAGATCCGTTTTTTTTAATTTATTTCATCTCTTCCATTTTGTAATTATTTCTGTGAAGTTGATTTATAATAATTCAGTTGCTCATGCTACTAACTACAGATTCGGAGGAGAGTTGTGAACACCTCAACTGTTTTCATCAGGGTGGCTCTTTTGATTGCTTTCATCATTTGCGCTCTCTGCTCGGAAGGTAATATATCTTTCTGTCAGATGTTTATGTTTCTTTATTCTAATTTAATGATGCAGAAGTTGATGATTGTTAAACAGTTATGTCTACAGAATTGCATTGATTATGTATTAATTGTGTTAGGTGGATTGGTGTATCCTTCTATGAAATGTATCATATATCTCTAGTGTTTCAATTCTTCGATTTTAAGTGTGTGTTATCTTGAATTGTATGCTATTTGTTACTTTGTAGAGTGATCACTTGTTCGCAGATGTTTCTGTGTGAAGTTGATATTTGGTGATGCGTATTTTGAAGAGTGGTCTAAAAGACTGTAATTGTAAATAGTTTGAAAAAAAACTTAAACTTGGGTAATTGTGTGATTGCATAAATTGGTAGATGGCTAAATGATGAACACAAACTTAACGATCTGTTTGTAATAGTAGCAATGATGGCATCTGTTTTCGAGGTCGTTGAGGTTGTACATAATTGTTGGCTTCATCACCCTTATTGTTTTTCGGTAAGCAGGTAGACGCAAGACTCCATGCAATGATTTCTTGATGTTTCTCCAGCATCTGTTACCTCTGGTTTTGCTGTGTTGCCACCCTAATTGGTCCAAGTAGGCTTTTCCTTCCTCCATTTCGCCCCTAGATAACAATATAATCCCATATAGGTACATACTTTCGCTGTAGGATCCTCGTGCTGCTAATTTTAGATGTTGTAGTCCGGTGATTGTGTTGTTTTTGTGGAAGTACTCTAGTATTCCTTTGATGTAGTGAGCTTCGATGTTTCCGTTGGTAAGTGTCTTCTCCATTAGGTCTTTGTATCTGTACCTTGTTGCCAAAGGATGGAACACCAGAGGTCGTAGGTTAAGAGCTTTGTAAACTCCTTTGTCATTTGCTGCCTTTGCCAATGCTTTTGACGCTTCCATAACATGGCGAAGTTGTCTCCGAGATGAGCTTCCAACTCGGGCTAATATTTCTCCGACTATGTCCTCAGGGAGATCGCTGAGTGTTATTGTAGTGTTTTTATCTGCCATTTTTGTTTCTTTTGTTGTTTATATTTTGATTGTATTGAGGATGTATATTTTATAGGCCGTGTTTTTGACTGTTACGTCTTGTGATATTAATTTTTTTTTTTTAATTATCATTATGGTGCATTTAATTTTGGTAGGACGGTTTCAAGAGTGTCAATTACATTGGCAATTAGTGTGTGTTATGGTCTATAGTGGCGTATGTGTAGTGTTATACTTCTTTGTTAACTGTTGGTTTTGTGTTTCTACAACGGTTGTACCCTTTTGATTGTGACGATTGGTTTTCTTAATTGCTTGTGAATATTGTGGTGATGATATTTATTATGTTTTCCGTATAATATGTGAATTTTTACCCAAGCGAGTTCTTTTATCCTTTCTTTCCCCATCACTTTGTCGATGCTAACAGTTGGGCCTTTAATTTGGTTCTCTTAACCTATTTTTTAGTTAATGTGTAGAATGTGAGTAGGTTGCTCTATATGTGTATATTTTCAGTATTACTGGACGTTTACTATGTATTAGTTTGTGTCATTTAGAAATTCTGTGTGTACTATGTATGTGCCACTGTTGTAAAGGGTTAAATTTGGCATGCATTTGTTTTGTAATTTGTAAGAGTTGGTATTATAAAAAGCAATTGTAGTGAGTTAGATGTTTGTGGAACCTACGTACGATTAATTATGATTTTTTTCGTACTTAGCTATTTTTACATGTTCATTTTCCTTTTAGTGTTAGTGTTTTTGTTAAGAGAAGAGTAGCCTAAAATACATTTTACGTACATCTCTTCTGTGTTATTTGGTGTCTGGCATTTTTCAACCGGTAGGTGTTTCTATAACTATATGGTTGGATTTGAAAGCTTCAGCCGTTAAAATACTCTTTATTAGTTTGTTGTTATTAAAGTAATATCTGATCTAATGTGGTCTTTGCTGAGAAGCTAAAATAAACTCTTGTCATATGAATATGTGTAAAAGTAAATCGGAAACCATTGTATTTAAAGCATAAGATCTGAAGTTGAAAAAGCACGTGCAACAAAGTGAAAACTTAATAATGTAAAGTCATTTTTTTTTTTTTTTTGGCTAAGAATGTTAATATCATATAAAATGAAGATAGTTGGTTTTACAGAAAGATAAAAACCTATACAAGTGGTTCCTTGGCAAAAAAGATAAAAACAAAGAAGCACACGAAGCTTCTAGAATCGAAGACAACTATAAATTTAGTGGAGCCAAAGGCTCATAATGTTTCGGAAACTCTTCTGATCACGCCTAGCAGTGATAGAGTTGATTAATTGCCGATCAATTTCCTTGAAGATGGTGAGTGGAGGGACTGAAACAGAGTTATGGAGGAGGTTGTTTCTTTGTTTCCAAATCCCAGCGACCACAGCTTGAGTCAGAAGCTTTCGGAGCAAGGGAGGAGCTGAACGAGTATAAGAAGAAGTCCAAGCGAGTAGTTCCTCCCAAGAACCAAATACTAACGGTGACAGCGAAATCCTTCGATATAATTCTTGCCAAATTACCGCACTAAAGGAACAAGACAGGAAAAGGTGGTCCCTTGTTTCGATATGGCTTGAGCACAATACGCACAAAGGCGACACTAGCATTCCCCAGGAGACAAGTCTGGATCGTACAGGAAGCCTATCCAGTGTTGCTGACCACATTGTGAAAGCATTACGTGGCGTTGCACCTTTAAACCAAACGGACGAACTCCAGCTTTTTTCTGGTTGTCTAGGACGGAGAATCTCCCAAGTCTTGCTAGAGGAGAACCCATTACACTTCTGCTCACCAATAACCCATTCATACGAGTCCTCTGTAGCGGAGTCCAGGGGAAGGGCAATGGTTGTTAAGAACACATGAAGAGCTAAAGTTTGTTCGGAACGAGGAGGAGCAAGAGACCATCCAATTTCTGAACAAGCATCTAAAACCGAGGCCCTGATGGGGATACGAAGATCTCTGGGACCAGCGTCCCCCAAGTAACGAATTAGAGAGCCGAAGGGAGTCCATATATCACCCCAGAAACTTGCTGTTCGCCCGTTTCCAATCGTGCATCGCAGGAATCGTTCCGCTAAAGGTCTAAGCTTCAATAAACAATTCCAAGTCCAAGAATGCCCGGTATTTATTTCTTGAAATCAAAAATTTGAAACAGATTGGCAGTGGTGACGCTTGTGCCAAGCAACCCATAAGGAGCCACTTGCAGAGAACAGTAACCAGATAAAACGCAAGCATAAAGTTCTATTCCAGTCGGCAAATCTTCGTAGACCCAGCCCCCCTTCCACTTTGGGAAAACAAACAGCAGAACATGCCACCTTAGCATTATGATGTGAGTCAATATTCCCTGACCACAAGAACCTTGAGCACAAGGACTCAATCATTCTGACACAACCAAGAGGGAGGATGAATGTTGACGTCCAAAAATTTACAGTCCCGGAGATGACTGAAGTAATTAATTGCAGCCTTCCCGCAAAAGACAGCGTCCTTACAGCCCAACCTCTAAAACTCTTTGATATCTTTTCAACCAACGGAGCGTATTCACTAATTCTCAGTTTTCTGCTCGTCAAAGGCAGCCCAAGATAACAAATAGGAAAGAAGCCAAGCGTGAATCCATATTGAGCGTTTGTGTCGGATTCAAACTGAGTTAACCCAGCTTGGAAAAGCTGTGTTTTTTGCCTGTTCAAAAGAAGCCCTGACCAACCCGCAAAATCCTCTAAAGTCTCATGAATGCCATGAAGAGAAGAGCTCTGCCCATCAAAGAATATCATGACGTCGTCTGCGAACGTCAAGTGGGAGATACCTAGCGCTGCTGTGTTAGGATGGTAGGCAATGTAACCCGAATCATACCTTGATTTCAGAAGTTTGGAGAAGACTTCCATAGCAATTAAAAAAGATAAGGTGAAAGAGGGTCACCCTGTCTCAGTCCTTTCGAGCTATGAAAATAACCATCTGCAACTCCATTGACTGAGACTGAGAACGAGGGAGTGGAGATACACTCGTGAATCCAGCTAACAAACTTGTTGGGGATGTTTAAACCCTTTAAAGCTGCAATGATAAAGTCCCACCGGACAGAGTCAAAAGCTTTCCTCAGTCCACTTTCAGCATACCCCTAGGCTCTACATTCACTCTATTGTAGCCCTGAACAATCTCAGTAGCCAGAAGGACATTCTCGGATAATAACCTTCCCGGCATAAAAGCCGATTGAGAGTGAGATATCACAGATGGTAAAAACGCGATGAGTCTATTCGACAAGAGCTTTGAAATAACCTTGTAAAGCGTGTTCAAGCATGAGATCGGCCTGAAATCTGAGAGTTTGGAAGCATTCGGGATCTTTATGATGAGAACCAGATTTGTTGCATTCCACTGTTTAAGAAGCTTACCCGAGATAAAGAATTCAGAGATTGCTGCAGTGACCTCGCCACCTATAACAGACCAACATCCCGTGAAGAACTCTGCAGAGTAACCATCTGGACCACAAGTCTTGTTTTTCGGCAGGGAGAAGAACGCTTCTTTGATTTCCTCTACCGAGAAAGGAGCCTCAAGTTCTGATATTTGAGTGATTGAGCAAGAAAACCCCAGAATCGATGTTATGTCTTCCTGAGCGAATAAATAAGGAGGCTCCTCGCTTCCCAGAATATCCTTAAAGTAATCAACACAAAGGTCATGAATGCCTTGGGAGGAGTCTACACGGTGGCCATCAGCATCTTCAAGATAGTGGATAAGGTTGATAGCCATCCTAGCTTTTGCAAACCGATGAAAGTAAGCAGTGTTCAAATCTCCCTCACACAACCAGGAGATGCGGGATCTTTGGATGAAAAATCTCTCCTCTGTGGCCACAAGAATATCCCATTTCTTTTGAGCTTTCAACTCTTGATAGGCATTTGCTGAAGAAGGCAAAGACAGCATTCTAATCTGAGTGATGGTTAGATCTTTATAAGCCTCTTGCACTCGCAGCTCTAGATGGGAGTAGTTTGCTTTACTGAAACTTCGAATAGCTTTCTTCAGGGCCTTTAGCTTCTTGGAGACCCTGAACATATCTGACCCCACAACGTTAATAGAGAGCCATTCACAGCTAATCAGATCAAGAAACTGCTGATTGTGCAGGAGATAGTTGAAGAACTTGAAAGCTTTTTTCTTGCGTGGGGTGTCTGGAGCGAGGACCAATTCACAAGAACAGTGATCGGAGAAATCTGGGGGGCCAAAAAAACCAACTGCCGAGGGAAAACTTATAGCCCAGGTATCATTTACAAGGATCCTATCAAGCTTTTTTCTATAGGATAAGCCCTTCTCTTGTTCCACCAAGTGAAAGAGGATCCCCTGAAATTTAAGTCTGTTAACGCGCAATTAAGGAGAGCTTCGCGAAACTCTCGAGTCTGTCTGTCGACGTCAAACCCAGCTGAAGAGGAGTGCTCAGAGGGATTAAGAACTTGATTGAAATCACCCAACACTGCCCATGCTTTATCTGTGAGTCTGGGGTTCAATGAAAAAGACATCAACTCTGCCCAAAGGTTAACCCGAAGTGCTTCCTCATTTGAAGCATAAACAAAAGAGACCACCACAGACGTGGTGGAGGTAGGTAACATGACCTCGCAAGAGATCATTTGCAGGGACTTTAAGATTATCGTCACTTTAACACTGGGGTGCCAAAGGATCCAGATCTTCCCCAAAGCCGAGAAGTCGTAGTTGTCATCAAAGGACCAGCCCGGAAACACATTCGCAATGAATTTCTCGTTCTTAGGCCGCTGTACATAAGTCTCTATGAGACTACCAAAAACAGGCTTGTTAAGCTGAAGCCATTTCTTAAACCCGCTAAGATGAGACACTTTATTAAAACCGCGGACGTTCCAACAAAAAAACATCTGTACACATAAAAGATTTTTAGTTGATTTTAAGGCTCTTGCCTCGATCACGGTTGCGTTGTCGCTGTGACACCACCTCCGTGAACTTATTTTTACCCTCCTCTTCTGATAATCTGTCCTCTTTACCAGATTCAGACGATTCAATGTCTGAGGAGTCTGGTTCAGCGGCTGAGACACCGCTTGAGCCCACATATCGACCCCTAGAGCTGAGGTTTTCCTTAGCCTTCAGCAGTAGAGGTACTTTTGGATTTCTATCAACTGTGACTGCTAAAGTCCCCACAGAAATTGCAGTCCTGACTACTGAACCCTCTACAGGG